TTCACAAAGTGAATTTGACGAAGAAAGTAGATCTCGATAGAGCTTCAATGAGAACGCGAGTAGTAATCTGCATCAAACGGTTTCACGTCATGTTCCGGAGAATTTTACTAGTATAAATTCTAACATATTTGTTACTCTTTTCGCAATACCTCAGAAAAAAGGGGGAGGGGCGACTGGGACTTCTTATGTAGGACCGGACTTGAATATGCGCCGCGCCATTTCGGCGCGGATAACGGCAAAAATCGGTGTGAGCTGGAGTTCGCAGTTGATTTTCTCAGTTAGGACCTTATGAGGTCCGCTTGGGCAACGGCTTGGTTAGATGCTCTCCAGCAACTTTCCAATGAGAAACCCAGGTAAGAAATTTGTTTGGACATCGTCTAGGCACGACACCTTAGAAATGAAAAAATAATGAAGACACAGCAAAGCAGACTTGATCAAACAAATAAAAGTCAGCAAAACTCAGAGTACTTAGCACGCATTTTTGTTATTGATTATTTCAGGAATATTTCTATTGTTAATGGCTAATTTCTAGTTGCGAGAAGAAATCGAAGCGAATGGCCCAGATGTTTTTTTGCAGTGAATATCAGTAAAATGGATGGATTGTGAAACAGATGGGTACTGCACGTGGTTGCATGAAACAGGTTCTTGTTTACTCGAAAATCTTGTAATCGAGTGGACGTTACCATAAATGTGCGAAATGACTAGACAGTTATGTAACAGCGATCACAAATGTCAAATGTGAATTTAAATCAAGGTGGCACACATCAGAAAAATCTGGATAGTCTCATATGGGTGAAGCTAACTGGAATTCTTTTATTCCGCATAAAGATTAGAGAATCTCCCAACTTCTGTACAAGGTAATAAATGATTTAATCTTACAAAAATCGTTCCCCAGTGAAAAGACGTGAGACCTCAAGAGATTGCTGTTAACTCTAGAATCGTTGTGACTTTTTTCGCAAGACACAAAAGGTGTGAATGATTACTTGACGGTATCTTTTACAACGTCTAATAAATTGCTGTTCCATTTCACAGTATTACAATAAATCTGTGAAGGTTCGGAACCATGTCACTTTTTGTGAGGTGTAAAACTTAAGAGATTCTGACAACAGGTTGTTGCCGTCGCTGTGAAGTACTCGAACTCATCAAAAGTTTGTCGTTCTTGTCAGCTTTCTATTAAAGGGGTATGCTAAATTTCTAAAATGATATCTAAAACAATTTTGAAAATTTGGGGACTTCGGAAGATCCAGTGATAAGATTTTAAAAAACCATGAAAACCACAAATTATCAACTGGTAATAAGCGGAGAACATTGAAGAATTTCACGTCATAGATGAAAGGTTCCAGTGTGCGGATAAGAAGCTTCGAAGTGGTTTGAAGCCGGAAAATGAATAAATCAAAAGGTTATGGAAAATGCTTGTTCTCCATTTATAAATGCCGCTGTGTTTGAATTCAATGTCAGTACCTATCAAAATCAAATTATTCAGGTTGCAACCTATGTCTTGTTACTCTAACTTCTTACAGGGACAAGTCATACAATTCTCATTTAGATAGAGAATATATATTTTCAGAATTACCGAATTAGCTCTCCTCACTCGGTTACATGCCAAAATAAATATTTCGAATTAGCTCTCCTCACTCGGTTACATGCCAAAATAAATATTTCTCGAAAACTAGGGCTGATAGAAAGCTAAAAATCTACGGTCATACTTCTAAGAGATTGTAGTATGCAATACCATGAGTGGAAAGCATAGCTTCGTTTTTGTATAAACATGAAAATTTTCTTTTTCTCGACTTCCAAATAAGGAAGAAATAGAGGAACGGCATATATGAGCGTCTGATATAGTGTGCATTTCTGTGAGCAAGTTGGAGATTCGTACAATATCTTTGAACGAAGATATGAATTTTTGATTTTTTGAGCTTTCAGTATGACTCAGATTTTCGATGCAAACTTACGGTGGATCGAAGCTGATGCAAACTTTTGTGCCTATTGCCTTTTGCTTTGCCCTTCGAAATGTTCCCTGAGCCCTACTGAAAATGCGAAGCGTACGCCCCCTATCGCCGTAAGAAATTAGAGTGTAACAAGACTCAAGTTACAATCTAGGGCGGTATGCATCAATCTCCCGTTTTGAGAGTGGGCGATTATTTTCAATAGTTCATACATTACGGGTCAGGCGACCAATCCGGCCGGGCGATCATTTTCTATTGAAAATTTCAAAACGGGAGATTGATGCATACGGCTCCTGATAAAAGTCGAAAAGATCGTTGAGTCAAAAATACGAGTATGCTGCCCATTTGCATTTATTTTTTTTGAAGTACGGTCACATCGTGATTTTTGTGCCTACATCATCATATAGATTTTTTTTCAAACATAATCCTGAGATTAGCTTAAAAAATAACCTAGCAGATGATTCAAAGAAACCAGATGCGAATGTTCTAAGGTCCAGAGAATTTTGAGAACTCATCTTATCGTAAATAGGGAACTAAAACTCGAATTTTACCGAAAGACAGAGGTGTTTTAGCTAATCAAGCTACTATTCCAGCTGCGGCCCATTATTGCTTGCGTAGTAATTTTATGCCCGATCAAACAAAAAGAGCCTCGTCCACAAAAGAGTACGCGAGCATATTGCGCGCTTCTTTTTTTTCCAACGAGTGTACAGTTGGACTGTCATCAATCATCTACGTCTTGGTTTCTGCGCAATGTGCTCTTTCAAGCCCCTTTAGCGGGCACAATGGACCGGTCACAAAGAGAGCGGCTCAAGGTCGGGGTTGAACACTCAAAGGCATTGTTTGGGCAAATCTAGCTGGCTTCGTGAATACTGTAGGATTTGACTAAGCCATTATCCAAAAAAAGTTTATATGAATCAATCGCGCCCTTTAACTCTAAACTTCCGCCAACAGTGCTTTGAATCGAGGACGTAGTTGGTCTACACGCAAAGATTACGGTCTAGGCTGAAGTTCAAAATTGAGCTTCTCGTCCAAAAATATCATATGCAACAGCAACAGTCTAGGTGATGGCTTAGTTAACCCTCCATCAACACACAATACGGTTCCCAAATTATGTGGACGCTGTCTTTGGGATGGGATTCACATAACTCTGACATAATGATGTCATTTATTATTTCCTTCACTCTATATTTCCATGAGAAAGAGGAGCAATCAATTATACCAGATGATGTATTTTTTTCTCTCATTTCTTGAGAACGATGAGCGGTCGACGAATCGTATATGTGCCAGAAAAAAGGAAATTTGCAAGCTACTAAAAGCAACACCAACAAAATAATGTTTCCGATGGTAGGCTTATGGTAATCTATATGATGTGAAGTTAATTATATAGACTAAGTAGAGTTCATATCACCTTAGCTTCTCAGACTCGCTATAATCGGGTCATTCATACCAGCTTGATTGCGTTGCATTCTATAATATTAGCAAAGTATAAAGCCGCTTGATCGAACGTCATTCTTTTTCTATAGACTAAAGGTCGCAAACCTTCCTCGATTCAAAGAAAACAAAATTGCCGTGATTTTATCGGCGAAATGTTGACTGTCACTTTTGAGAAAGATCGGCTAAACTTAACTTACGCTAAATAAACGATTCAAGCAGTGTAAATTGTCCAAACTTGTTAGAGAAAGCGACAAAATTTGTTTAACTATGAAGCTTCTTTTCCAGTTTGGAAAGCTAAAATTATTTGTTTTGGATATATATGAGATGGGAAAAATGCTGTTATTTTGAATATGCATGAGGTGTAAAAGATGCCTAAATGGCTTTTCCGAGCGGACTTTCGCAAGCAGAAAGGAAATGGTATTGGGAAATACTAAAGTCTTTCAATGATATTCAACTGCTACAATCTTTCGGAATGGCATTTCCAAATTTTTCTTTTGTATTTCCCGAATGGTCATTGGGCAGGATTACGAGCATTTGTTGGAGCTCAAGTAATCACAAGTGTGAAGGCAGCTTACACCCAAAGTTTAGGTTCCCATGTTTCTATCATTCTTGGGCCTTCAAGAGCGTCGCCGAAGTAGCCTTACGAAATTAGATTTGTTTGCAATACAGGCATAAGGATGATGTCATAAATGCCGTAAAAGCAGCTATGACATCATTCCAGTGATTCGCTATGATCAGCAATAAATTCTTTTGAGGAGGTAGACAATCTTGCTCAAGATATTAAGCTTATTCTGCCGCAGATTCAATACAACTCACTCAGCTCTTGAGACCTGTTCAAGCAGTTTATCATTATAACATTGCATCCGCCGCATAATTCATTATGCTTTGTTCTATTTATAGGCAACGATGTCAAGGAAAGTTAGCTGCTAGTTTTTTTATTGGGCTGAAACGATCAGATTAGTTTGGAGGACTGTAAAATAGCTTAGGTCACATGGAAGAGATACGGGCGTTCTTAAAGAAAGCAAGTAATTTTATTACAATTTAGCTAGGAAAAAATAACTCCTAGGAGAGTATGGTTAAGGACTAAGGACTTCACACATGAATGGTCCAAACTAACAGAAAAAAATACAAAATACTTCTTGAACAACTTCTAAATTTGATGGAAGATGGTAAAAAAGGGGATTTACGCGCGATTATGAAGAGCAGCTGGTCCATCAATTTGACATTGTAAACGCAACTAGTCTATTTGAGAAGAAGAAATTCGTAAACGGCTGTAGGCTTTCTAGAAATATGGATTCGAAGCACACAAAATTACAGAACGAGAGCAAATTCCTAATTTTATTTCGAGCAGTGGTAAGCGTAAGAAAATACGAAGAAATGAATAGCTATAACTTCAGTTCTTTTTTCTTACTAGGTTCTTGAGAACACATAGCATTCTAGATTGGAAAGAGTGGGAAACGCGAAACGGATTGATGCGAGAGCAGTTAAAATTAGGCAGTGACAACCACGAAATCGAGATTTCCAGGGAATCGCCTACAAATTCGAGGTCTCGGAAGATAATGGCGAGACGTGAAAGAAGAATTTTTGTTTGTATGAAGTCTATTAACATACAAAACCAACCTTTTCTTAGGTGTTTTGTTGTTGTGCGATCGATTTCCATGAAATTCGTTGTGCGATTGACATGATGAGATTACGATGGATGGTGGTGGCCCGGGCGAGGGTAGCATGGAGAGAACCCTGCAAATACTAAAAAAATAGTCTAGCAAATTTGTAGATCGTAAAGAATACACGAGTATATGGAAGTTCACCAAGAGACTATTCATCATCACCACAATTCAATACTTTTTCGCAAAAAATAGCGGAAATTAGAAGGCAAGAAATGCAGATGCGGAGATTGGAGCGACGCAGAGACCTTCCACTGATCTAAAATACCCAGTTTTTGCTATTTGAGAGTAGATTACAGCGTTATAGCATCAACTGTTTATTTTCTATTGGAGACCAACATTAGCTATTTTTGTAAAATTTCCCAGGCCAGAAAAAGACATCACAGTCCACCTTGCGTATGCGGATAATTTCATACTATAACATACTACTTTCTCACAGAAATGTCTAGTTTACAGACTTTCTTCGATTTCGAAAGATGCGACAAGAGAAAAATTATGTTTTTTTTTTCTAAAAATAGAAAAGTGCCAGCCTTGATTAGCATCGTGAAGAAAATGCCTACAAAAAGAGACAATTATCTACCCACGAACGTAAGGAGAAATGTCTGATCAATTAGCGCGAGAAGCTATATTTATCTCGACGCAACTTTTTGCTTAGAGTATTGTCCACAATAGTTATACAAAAACAATCTGAGCGCATTAGAATACCCTTCGAAAGCGAATGGAGAATACGACTGATTATGGCCACGAAACGTAATGGTCTTATCTCTGACAAACACATGACCAAATTGCGCTGCTCTGTGAGAGACATGAGATAAAATAAAAACCGAAATAGCAAAGAAGAACGGAATGTTTGAGAAGTGATAGTGGACTTCAACAACACATTTATATTACTGTTCCAGTGGACACGCTATGGAATTTGAGAAGAGAAATCGAGAGGATGAAGTGCAGAGAGAAAAACATTTACGTTTGTAAGATTTATGACTTTAGATCTATGAACAAAAAGAGCTAAATTGCACGACTGCTGAGAGCTTTAACATTCATTTCATTTCATTCCATTTCATTCATTCATTGAATAATTCAGCCACTTATTGTATTTATTTATTTATTTATCTATCTATTTATTCGTTTATTCATTCACTCATTCAATCAATCAATCATTCATTCATTCATTCCACTCATCCATTCGTTGTAAAGAGTACGAGTGAGAAGAATAATGCTAAATGCAAGATGAGATGAGTGGAATAAATGATTGATGAACGGATGAATGAACTAGATTGAATGAACGAATGAATAAATAATTAAATGATGAATGGATGAATGAATGAAATTGAGTGGGTGAATGAATGAATGATTGAATGTATGAATGAGTGTGAATGAATGAAGAATGACTGAATTGGGAGTGAATTGAATAAGCGAATGAATGAATGAATGAATGAATAAATGCGGAATGGATGTGTGGATGAATGAATTTATGAATGGATAAATGATCATTAACTAACAAAATTGAGTAAAATCGGAAGTTTGCCGAAGAATAGCCGGCGAGGAAAACAATTCTTTAAATGAATTACTTTTTTATTGCATCGACTAGCTGATTTTTAGAAGTTTCAAAGTCAAAAGTATTCTTAGCCTGCAAACTATTATATATCCAGCGATTTCATTGTGTAAGAAAGATTAGTCGGTGATTAGTCGGTTCACAAAGTAGTAATCGAGCTGTTTTTGAATTTCTTTTTGTGAAAGTCTCAATCTCTGGTGCATGTTGCAGTTGAAGCAAGCTTTCGAATACACAAATAGGGTCACAGATCTTCAACAAAGGGATGTTCAAGGTTACACAGCAAAGATCGCTGAACCCATCATTGGAGATGTTGACGATAAAATTGCATATAAAAAAGAATCTTTGATAACCCAACATATAAGGTAAATTTGCAGGAATTCTATCTTGCATCAATGCAGTCAGGAAGGTGTAGAAATCATGAAAATGATGCAAAAATTTCTTAGTGAAAAATCGTAACCTCCTGTCTAACATACATGGACGACTTTCAAATCTTGGAGAAAGAATATTTTGCTTTTTTTAACAGTATCTAAATAAGTAACTGGATTAAGCAGTACCAGGCTATAAGAAACTACTCAAATTTTTTTGCAAATTTTGAGTTGAATCAAAAAACCAGAGGTCCTTAGTAAAATTTTTGTTTACGATCCTGAAGTTGAAGGATTTGGCAAAATTCCTCGAAATATTGAAAAAAGCATGCACATCATAAAATGTAATTCTTAAGTACAATAATACAAGCCTTTGACACATAGGAACGTTTTCGAACATTTGAAAACTTTTGAAAAACCACTGTGCGACGGATCAAAATTGTTGAGTTTGGAAGTCTAAATCTATTATGAGGTTTTTGGCCCAAGATGAAATGCAAATTCGGAAAAAAGCGGAAATTTACTTTCATGAAGCTTGATTTACAGTTTGCTAAGCAGGACACTAGCGTTGGCACAGTTAGCCCCAGGGTGCCCATTGCCTCAAGATTGACACAAACAAAAACAAAAATAAATCTCCTTGCTCGTAGAGTACAAAGCTAATTGTAGGGGTTCCACATGTTACAAAAAAAGCAAAGACAAGGCCCATAGTGATGAAAGTTCACGTTTTCAACGTCTCGAGGGAGATATTACAGCCGTTGTATAGTTTTGAAGGCAGCACGGCATGCAGCTGAAGAAACGAAATGACTGCTTGCAAATTAGGCCCAGCTTCTATCGATTCAGGGTTCGTATAAATTAGATACTGACTTGTAGCTTCTCTATGCTCTGCGTGGTCTGCGAGCAGAAGAAATGGCACGCTTCCCTCGCTTCTCCTGAGGAATGGGTGGCGAAAGTGATGGTGTCACGCAAAGTAGCAAAAGGGCATAAGTGACATTTCGCTAGTTTATAAACGTTTAGAGTTACCCGTGCGCCGACTCCTACGCACCGCTCCAGCTCCGCGATGGAACCTGAATGGACGCGTCCTTATTGATCGCCGGCGTTCCTGCATGGTGCTGGCACGGGCAACTCCGCACGCATCGTAAACTCGAAATGTGACAGCATTCGAAGCCAAAAGTCTCGCGGAAAATGTAGCTAATGCCAGGATGTCTATTTCCCATCCAAAAGAAACTTTCTTGAATCGCCCGGTGTGGCTAAGCTTTTAATACTAAATCTTTCATTCCTGTTCCGAACTTCATAATACAGTAGATGGAAAAAGTCATGAAATCGTAGGGCTTCAACAAAATGGGAACATTTCGGTAAGTTGGAGTTTGAAATTTCAGTGAAATACGGTTTGAACGGTTCATATAGTGCTCCTGCAGTAGCGACAACACTTGCGCGCAGTAAAATAGTCATGGCACGCGTATTTCATAGTTTTGCGCCGCGCAAAAGTTGTATGCACCGTAGGAGTACTATGATTTATGATTTATTTGCCTTTCATATTATTACAATATGCGGCACCCAAGCAAACTGATCCATTTTGTAACGTGAGTGATCCTACTCTTTATTGCAAGTGCCAACATTCTTTTGAAATTCGTCTCTCCATCTCGTTAGGGCCCGTATATCGAGTCGTGCTCTCTTCAGGCTTCTTGCAGTTCTTGTCGGACTTCGTCTGACAGGTGTCTCACGTTGGATGTTCCGATGTCTATACAGTCGTTGTTGGGGTGGAACATACTCGATCCTGCTGTTCCGGGACTTCCAGGATCAAGGGGTTCGACGTCCGGTAGGGTGGGGAAGAGGGATCAAAATGACCGACCAGTCGAGGGACGTGTAGAAGATGAACTCAGGAGTACTATATTTCATATAAAGTCAACAATAATATGTTCGTTACAACATTTAGGAGCATCAAATTTATCCAAGGACGATCACCGATACTGGGGTCCGAAAACTCCCAGCTTATTCTGAAGCTTTCGGGTTTACCTCTGTTGTTGCAGTTCAAATTCAAAAACTACGCAATTCTATGAACACAGTAAACAGCAGATGTTTACGGCTTATCCGAGGACGGGTAAGCCCCGTGAATTTCGAGTGCACGTCTCATGATCGCCACGATCGCGCGCTTTTTTCGCGTATCGTCGAACGATGCAACGCTCGCAACGATCGTTGGTCGCATAATTCTGGCGCCACGCGCTCACGTGCGAACCCGAAGTGCCGCTGGCCGAGGGGTCGCGAACCCGTAAACAACATCAGTCAGCTGTTCGCTCGGGCTAATTTTGTGCAAAGACGAAGCTGTGCGAAGAGCGCGAAAGGATTATGGCAGCGGGGGAAAACAGACATTGGCCAGGGAGTGGGGAGGGTGGAGAGAAAGGAGGGGGCTTGAAGAGAGTAATATTTACACGGAACCTTAGAATTATGCTAAGTCGTCACTTGTAGAATTGCATACATCTTTTACTTTCTAATCTCTTGATATGCCGATATCGCCAAATGAGCATCATACACTTCATCCTTACATACTTCAAAAATTTTGGGAGGTTTTAGTAAACTTGGAAAATCAAAGAAAAACAAATTTGATGTGGAAAACTCCAAGAAGGTACAGGCTGTTCCAAAAGCCCTGTAGCCTGAGTTTGCGCTATCATAACTTATGGATCTAGTGGTTTCTGGGTACTAGTGGTTTTGAATGTGATGACTCAGAAAGCTGCAATTATCCTTAAAATAAATTTTTGCGATTTCAAACTGATCTTTAAATTTATTTGAAAAAAAAACGAAATTCAAATGCAAAAGAAACCACTCGAAGAGGTGGTTTGCTTGCGAAAAATCAAAAATTGGTCGTAGAGTGCAAAAAACCTCATGAATAACAACGAAATATTCTCAAAAAAAGGAATAAATTCTAGGGCATTTATCTTACGTCCCTATGACTAATCCCACTCCCCTCACACTAATCTCTTGTCTCAGCTAGTGTGAGAAAAATTGATCCTAATGTACTCCCTCATTCTATCCAAGAACGTAAGCACAATCCTGGAGACTGCAACTGCAAAGAAAATTGCAGCGAAACAAAAAGAAAAGAAATTACTATATGGAAATGTTTAAGTGCAAGCGAGGAAGATATTAGCAGATTTACTTTTTCCTGTTTTTGTCTCTTCAT